TGGGTGGAGTTTGCATGTTCTCTCCGTGCATGCGTGGGTTTTCTCCGGGTACTCCGGTTTCCTCCCACAGACCAAAAACATGCATGTTAGGTTGATTGGTAACTCTAAATTGTCTCTAGGTGTGAGTGAGAGAGTGAATGTTTGTCTCGTTTGTCTCTATGTGTCCCTGTGATGGACAGGAGACCTGTCCAGGGTGCCCCCTGCCTCTCGCACAGTGATTGCTGGACATGGGCACCAGTGACCCCCGTGACCCAAAATGGAAGAAGCAGGTAAAAGATAATGGATGGATGGATGTTGTGATAGAAGCTGAGCATCATCTCCATCATCGTGCAACAGCTTTACGTGGCATTACTGTGTGTCAAGTCTGTTAGCAAAATATCTCATGAACCAGTGGATGGGCTTTAGTGAAACCATCACAAATTAATCAGTGGATGAACGTCTGCAGGGCTCATCCAAACACAGATCTGACTCAAACCTGCTTCATCACAAATCTGATTTTAACCAACATGGATTATCCTTTCTCTGCTAAAACAAAGACATGATCTTCATCCACACAGGTGGAAAACATCAGGCTGGTGACAGAAACCTATCTGTTACTAAACATCTGTTTGTAATGGAGTGCAGCGTGAGAACAAGCTGTTCACCTAAAGGCAACACGTAAAAATAGAACGTCATTAAAAAGCTGTTTCCCACCCAGTAATCCCGCACAGATTTACTCTCTGGCAGCTCATTAACAAAAACCTTCACGCGCCTTTTTGTTTGTAATGGTCACAGTTTTACCAAATAAAATCTTATGTCTTCTAAAGCATATTTGATGTTAAACACAGTCACGTGATTTGACTGTTATAAAAAGAAAAACCCTGTAATCCTAATTTAATCTGTATTGTGACTCAATTACTTAATTTTAATGAGGAAAAATAAATGATATTAGAAAACGATTACATTTTTTGGGATACACTTTAACTTGTTTTTATGCTAGCCAGCAGATTGTCCTGGTGGACTGACGTGGGGACACGTGATTGCCTACAGAGGGACATCACCAGATGGTCTCTCAAAGACAGGACGGTCCAGCACTGCAGGGCTGAGGGCAAAGCTCCTGTCCCCATTTTTAGGACAGCAATAAGCCTTTTGAAACCGTCCCCCACCCACAGCACAAACTGTTGGTGCAATGAGGCCGGTGCAGGAAATCATGAGCTCTGACTCGAGCAAAAAGGTTTTGGTGTAAAGGATTAAAATGATAGCAGCACGTCCAAAAGGAGCAAACGTGCATACGTGTTTAAATGGACGTGATTGTCAGTTATTTGGTTTTAACTTTTAAGGCAGGGGTGGGCAATTATTTTTTCCATGGGGCCACATGAGAAACAACAAATATTGTGGAGGGCTGGCACAAATGACTTTTTCATTCAACCTTTATTTAGACAGGTAAATCCCATTGAGCCTCTAGGACTCATTTACAAGAGAGATTATTACTGCATAATAATAGTATTTCATTATTAAAAGCAGTACATAGCACTGTTTTAACAAGCTGGTAAGAGTATTTGTTATGATTAAGCAACAAAAAAGCGAGGTTTCCTTACAAAAAATGTCATTTATTCAATTAAATTTCCCAGTACAATGGTAAACTGTTAACATTTTTACCATTTGTGATGTTATATTAGTGATCATTTTCAGTCACATTCACCCCAAAACTCATTTTGAGTTTTATATACTGCTGGAAAAAGTTCTTAGCTTTCTAAATATATCACAATATTGTCTTTGTACTCCAAATATTATGAAACATCATATAATAGTGATCGTCACTGAACTTTGATTTCGAGTCCCGGTTCTTTACGTGCCTACATTTGTAGTCTAAAAATCTCATTTGGTGTTTTTCAGTTCTTTTTTCTTGTTTAGTGAGAGAAGTCTAGTCTCTGTTGGGCTTTAACAGAAATGTTAAAGTCAGGTTGAAGGTCTGAGGTGGAGATGTGAAGCAAAGCTGACATCATTATTGAGAGAGGATCTATATCTGGATTTGGTTAACTTCATTTGTTTACATATGTATTTTGTAATTCCCCTTACGGGGGCCGGTCAGAGTCAACCAAAGGGCCGCATGTGGCCCTGGGGCCGTACAATGCCCAGGTCTGTTTTAAGGTCTAGTGAATCCGATGGTACATATATTTTTGTTAAATGTTCCAGAGTTGGATTTTTTTCTTGGTTCCTTTAAATTTTAAACAGCTCATCATTAAACTGAGAATTAAATAATATTTTCCCCTTTTACATGAGTATGCTGTTTGGTCAGGAGGAAATAACTTTCACAAAATCTAGTTTTTTTTAATCAAATATATAAAGATATATAAGGACTCTTACAAAGGACAGAAAAAAACAGAACAGCAACAACAATTTAAAAAGCGATGAAATAAAACTCACTTTTATTAGGGGATATTTCTTTTTAGTTGACATGCGTGATTAAAAGACATGCTCGCCCTCTAGAGGTACAAATATGGAACTACAACTTCAGTCAAAATCTGGGAAAGAAAAAAGAAAAACAAAATAAAATGAATTTTCCGTTTCATTTAGCTACAAACCACAACTTGATGTGATGTTATAATAAATTTAAGCTAAAAAAAATTACAAGCGTTTTTTTGTTTGTTTCTAATTAATAACCACTTATGATACAAGGAAATAATGTAAGCCTGTGCAGATTTGTGTTTTGGGCTGTATAACTAACACAACAATTATCAATTAAAGCAACAACTTATTAACACTTCAATATGTTTTCTTACATAAATTCAGTCTAATTTAGGACGTGGACAATTAATTATTTCAATATTGCAGCCACGTTGGCTGATGAGCAACTTTCAGTGTAATTGTTTAATTGGATTTTTAAAATAAACACACAGATCTCACTTCTCAGCCTCCCTGGTAAAGTTTACACCAAGGTGTTGGAAGGGAGGCTCCGACCCCATTGTGAGACCTCAGATCCAAGAGAAACAGTATGTCTGAACACAGCGCCAGACCCACAACTCACTAGGCAAGATTGCGTATCCTCTCTGGCCTGAGAATGTCTTGGAATCTCCCTGATGGAGCTGGAGAGCTTCGCTGAGAGGAAGGAACCTTGGGGTTTCTTGCTTCTGCAACCCGACTTCAGATGAGCAGCAGAAGATGGGTGTTTCTGTGTCTGTGTCACTCTAATATTATCATATAGATTTTTCTTCCATACCATGATCTTTTGCACGTTCTACCTCACATGCAAGTTTGACCTAAGCTGGTGCAACAACACTACCAGCCTGATCAAGAAAGCTCATCAGAGACTCCACTTCCTCAGGCGTCTGAGGCGAGTTGGTCTGGGAAGCTCAGTCCTCACCTCCTTCTACAGGTGTGCAGTGGAGAGAATCCTGTGCTCCAGCATCAGCGTGTGGCATCGAGGCTGCACAGCTGGAGAGACAAAAGCTTTGCAGAGAGTATCCTGATGCATGCTCAATAATCCAGGTAGAAAAATCTAAAAAAGTTAAATCTGGTCCTCTGGACATTCAAAAAAACAAAACAAAGCAAATCAACAAAAAAATGTAGAAACGTTTCGTCTCTCATCCGAGAGACTTCCTCAGTCTGAGGAGCTGTATTCAGCTCAGTCTCTTAAATAGCACCGTCTCAGGGTGGATCAACCAGTTTTGCTGCTGACAACCAAAACCAGCTGATCACATGCTCAAGAAGGACCATCAGCATAACAATGGATCATTAGCACACTGATGGCTGTTTACTGTTCACAGAGGGCTGAGTGATACTAGCAATCACAGCATTGTAAGAGGGGGACAGTTGAACCCGGAGGCCTCCACCCCTGTTTAATGATGGACGATTTCTTTTCACAAAGATGGCCTCCTTTACTCCTCTCTCAAACCATCGTTCCTCTCTGTCCAGGATGTGAACATCTTCATCCCTGAAAGAGTGACCGCTGGCCTGGAGATGAGTGTAGACCGCAGAGTCCTGGCCTGATGATGTTGATCTTCTGTGCTGGGCCATCCTTTTGGCCAGTGGCTGTTTTGTTTCCCCGATATAGGATTTGCAGAGAGTGGTGAAGGCTGCACAGAAGACTGTTGGAGTCAATCTCCCCACCATCACAGACACCTCCAGATGCAGGAAGAGGGCCACCTGCATCATGAAGGACTCCACTCACCCAGCACACAAACGTTTTGCCCCGCTCCCCTCAGGAAGGAGGTTGAGAAGCATTAAGTGTAGAACTACTAGACTGAGGAACAGCTTCTACCCTGAGGCTGTTAGACTCATGAATATCTAACCAGGATAATCACTGTGAGCAATCACATCATGTTGCTGCTGATTTGTTTCATGTTGCTGTGTTCATGCGTGCTCATCTGCTCACAGACTCATGTTCGTGCTGCTGTTCGGCGTATTGTTTTTATGCTGATAGTGTTTAGCGTGTTTTTAGTAGATGTCTTTCTTAGTTCATATCTTAGATCTTATTACTGTTTTCCTTTTACATTACATTTTATTGTCGGATGTAACTGGGACCATGTGCATAATTTTGTTCCACCACATGTACCACATGTGGTGCGAACGACAATAAAGAAACCCTGACCTTAACATCCCCTTCTGAGGATTCAAGGTTCTTCTTTATTTGTCATACACACCACTTGTTGTACATGTGGTAGAACGAAATTGTGTGCACAGGGTCCCAGTTACATCCAACTAAAGTATAAAATGTAAAAGAACCACCCCTCACTTTTTCCTCTCGTGCGCTACTTAATACACTGTCAGGGGCCCTTTGTCAGTGTGTCTATTATGCAACCTCCCTGTGCAAACACCCACTAATTTGTTGATAAGCCCGAGTATGAGGCAAATGCGTTGCTTTTGTTGTGTTGATATTGTATAACTTCAGCAGTGTACTTCGTGTACTTTGAGCCCGGCAACAGCAGCCGCACCCTGTTCTACGATTGGCTAACGGCTTCGGGCAGATCACATGATTGACAAGCGGCTAACCCAATCAGCTTCCCCGAAAGGCAGGAGGCGGGACCTCTGCTGCAATAGTGCAACTTATCCAACATGGCGCTGACGTCGCTCGCATGAGAGGGAACTGTTGGAACAGCACTTAAGTTCGGTCAGCGTCGATTGTTTTATCCAGCTAAGAGTACTTTGAGGTACACCAGCGTCGTCGCAGCCGTCTGCTGTTTGAAATGAAAGGGAAGGAGCGATCGCCGGTGAAGAAACGACCCCGGGCAGACGACGGCAGAGACCGAGGAGGAGGAGGAAGCTACCCAAGTAACAAGAAGTCCGGGCCGCTCTCAGCCGGCGGCAACACGGGCAACGGCTCGGCTCAGAGAGGCCTGTCATCCAGGAGGAGCTTACACGGTGAGAAAAAAGACACGAGGGACTCGGACGGACACAATTCATCCAGTCGGACTGGTAGCGGCTACGACTACGGGGCTGCTTCGGCTAACAAGTCGCACGGTGGCGCTGACGTCGCCGCGGAAACATCCAGGTCCGGTTCACGCGGCGACCCGCGGCCTCCGCCGAACCCAGGAAGTGAGTACAAGACTCTGAAAATAAGCGAACTCGGCTCGGAGCTGAACGACGAGGACATCGAGGACGGGCTGTTCCACGAGTTCAACAAGTTCGGGGAGGTGAGCGTCAAAATTGGTCGGGAAAACGACGAGCGGGTGGCGTTTGTGAACTTCAGGAGGCCCGACGACGCCCGCGCTGCGAAGCACGCGCGCGGCAAGCTGGTGCTGTACGACCGGCCGCTGAAGATCGAGACCGTGTACATGAACAAGCGCAGGAGCCGCTCGCCCCTAAATAAAGACGATTTCCCTCCGGCACACAGGAACCTCCACTCCCAGAGAGCCCCGTCTCCCACCGGTCTGGGCTACAGAGACCACCGGTTACAACAACTGGCCCTGGGCCGCCTCCCCCCTCCTCACCCGCCTCCTCACCCACCTCCTCACCTCAGAGAAATGGACAGAGACAGAGACTTTGCACTGTACGAGTCCAGAAACAGACCCCCCTTCATTCCTGAGTGTGCCGTTTTCCGTGATGAGGAGCTGATCAGCCCTGACAATGACCAGAGGGCGAACAGGACGTTGTTTTTGGGCAACCTGGATGCCAGCTTGACTGAAAATGACCTGAGGCGGGCGTTCGAAAGGTTTGGAGTGATCACAGAGGTGAACATAAAGCGAACTGTCAGAGGACAGAGCAACACCTTTGGGTTCATGAAGTTCGAGAACCTTGACATGGCTCATCGTGCCAAGCTAGCCATGTCAGGGAAAGTGATGGGTCACAGTCCGATTAAAATCGGATATGGTAAGCCCACACCCACAACCAGGCTGTGGGTAGGTGGTCTCGGCCCGTGGGTTCCACTGGCTGCACTGGCTAAAGAGTTTGACCGCTTTGGCACCATCAGGACTATAGACTACAAGAAAGGAGACTCGTGGGCTTACATCCAGTATGAAAGCATGGACGCTGCTCAGGCTGCATGCACCCACATGAGAGGTTTCCCCCTGGGTGGCCCTGACAGAAAACTCAGAGTGGACTTTGCGGACACGGACCATCGCCACCAGCAGCAGCAGTATGTGCAGCTTCCTCTCCCCCTGCCACACTATGTCCTGGTCCCGGAGCCTTTTTCTCACCACCTCAACGAGCCAGTGAGAATGCGAGAGCGCTCCCCTCCGCTTCCTGCTCGCTTTAGAGACCGAGATCTTTACGGCTCTTCCAAGTGGTCAGGCCTGAATGTCCACGACAGGATGCGAGGAGTAGGCTTTGACCCAGTGGATCGTCTGGAGAGGCGTACCAGAAAGACTTGGTCCATGGAGCAGGAGCTGCAGGGCAGAGATCCAGGTCGCAAAAAGAGACCTTTAGATGATGGGTGGCGACTGGAGCGTTCACCTGACACCGTCAACTATGGTCTGCCCCGTCATGGCAACTCATTAGAGCGCAGCCCTGGAGGTGGCAGCAGAGATGGAGGGCGCTGCAGCGACCCTGAACGTCTGCCTCGCTCTGACAGAACTTCCCCAGTCAGAGAGCGGCCAAACAACAAGGACGCCGGCTCTGCTGACAAAAAACGAAGAGCGCATAGCCCGTCTGAGCCGAGCTCCAGCATGGACAGAGACCGGAAACAGAAAGCCAGTGACTCTTCCAAAAGCCCAGCGAAAAAGGAGCAACGCTCTGAAAATCCAACCTCCAGCTCGTCTCCATCCAAGTCCGACAAGCAGCTTGAGCCCATCGCCAACGGGCAGAAGCTGAGTCAAGCCTGGCAGGGAGTCCTCCTGCTCAAGAACAGCAGCTTCCCAACCTCCCTGCATCTGCTGGACGGAGACATGAGGATGGCAACCAGCCTGCTGGTGGACAGCTCCACGGGGGCAAACGTGTCCCAGTTGAAGATCAGCCAGCGCCTGCGCCTGGACCAGCCCAAGCTGGAGGAAGTGGCTCGCCGCATCAAGGCCGCCAGCTCTAGCAAATTTGCGGTTCTCTTGGCCGTCCCTGGAAAATCGGAGGACGACGGAGGGCAGGACGCCAGCAGCTCCACGGAGAGGCCGCTGAAGAACCTGGTTTCCTATCTGAAGCAGAAGGAAGCAGCCGGCATCATCAGCCTCCCTGTCGGGGGCAGCCGCGACAAAGACCACGGAGGAGTTCTGCACGCTTTTCCACCGTGCGAGTTCTCCCAGCAGTTTGTGGATGCTTCTGCCAAAGCTTTTGCCAAATCAGAGGAAGACTACCTGGTGATGGTCATAATTAAAGGAGGCTCATAAAAAAGTGCAAATTAAACTTATTTTTTTTACTCTGTTGAAGGTATAAAAACACAGGTGTTGATAGTAAAGCAGGATTGATTGATGATTTGAAGTTTTCTGACCTGTTATTTCATGCTGTGAAATATTTATAGACAGTCAGAATAATGAAAGATTTTGATAAATTGACTCTTCTTTAATACGTGTGGCATGATGCCTTCTGCTGTTTGGGTATGAGATGAATACATAAAAGGTACTCTTCTGAAAGTAATTAGGAGCGAGTTAGATTTCAGTGAATCAGTTGTTTGTTGCCTTAATACATTCAAAAAGAAACAGATTCTTTTATATCCAGCTTATTTTTATTCGTTTCTGGGTTTAGACTCATGTTTGACCAAATAGCTTTATCTGTTCTTTATAACGCTTGTTCCAGATAATCAGATGCATCAGTAGCCTCTGAGGTGAAAGTCTGAAACTTCCTCTTCAAATCTTAAACTTGTTTAACTGTGCCAGTTTCGAGCAGTGCTTATTATTAGAGCTACAAAAAAAAATGTCCTTGTGTCTGGCCCGAAACAATTTTTATTGTGGGAAATGAAATGAAGGGAAGGAGTAAAGGTGACATGATTAAGATTCCATTGTGAGACACGTTCAGGTGTTCAGACGTCACAACATGACATGAATGATGTTTTTTTTATATATATATATATATATATATATATATATATATATATACACACACACACACACACACAATATTTTTCTTTTCCTGTAGTCAAAACATTTGGGACTGCTTCATTAACCTTCATTTTTGTTCAGCAATTTATTTTATTTGTAAAAGCCTTTGGTTTTTGTTTTATTTATTCTTTAATTTAGTTTTTTTTTTTTTACATTTTAAATAATTTGATATATTGTCCAAAATCTTCAAACCATTAGACTTCATGTAACATTTAAACCTTTTAAACGTTTGGCCTTACTTGTCAAAGCTGAGCTCAATGTCTTGCTCCACAAGTGACAGATTTTCCTAAAATTTTATTTGTACCGTGGGGCTTTTACTTTGAAAGGTAACTTCCTGGAATCGATTGCGTTTTGTGTTCATCTTTTTGATAGGAAATCTTTAAGTTTGACTGACCACTCATTCTTTTCACGTGTTATAGTAAATAATTCATGACTTACGAGTCCTACCCCAGAGAGCATGTACTAGTAAACAAAATGTACCTTTTTAACCTGGTAACGAAGACATCTGTAAGTCCTGCACACGCTTTGCACCAGCTGTGGACTCGTGTCAATGTCTGAGGAGAGGATCCTGCTCTTTAGCGCCTCTTCGACACCAGAACTTTTAACGACTTGTTTTTCATGCTTTGATTTTGAGCACTCTTGTTTTAAACTGGGGGAAAGAAAAGAATATATGTGCTGTGTACTCAGGATTTCTGGAGAGAGAGAAGTGGAGATCATCAGTGCTCTTGGGCCTAAGAAGTATATAAGAATATAAGTAAATAACTGTCAGAGCAACACGCAGAGTGTGGCACGCACTTGATCTTGTCTTAATAAATTTGCTCTTTCGTGGGAAACACGAGTGGCTCGGAAGACAACGTTTGTGACCTGTTCTGTTCTTGGGATGGTTTGATCAAACTGGAGAGGCTTTCACTGACAGCAGCAGCCCTCCCAGCAGAAAGGAAAGAGGAAGCAAAGCCTCTCGTTTCAGTGTTTTGCATCATGTGTTGAATGACCTCCACGAGGAGCTTCGCTTACTGAAATTTGGCCACGCTAAAATACGTTGTCAACAACCATAGAGTCACTGTTTGACCTCCGATCTGTGGCTTTTACTTCAGTCGCCTCTGCATGAGCGTGGAGGCGCGACTGACCAGCAAATGGCCAAAGTGTTGGAGGTCGTCCTCGTCAGACGGCCTCTGCGGGACGCCGATGCAGACAGTTCAGGATCTGCAGCAGCCTGAGAAGGAGCAGTAGTTTGTTTGCGTAGTTGCATCGGAGCTTTGGAAGAGGACGACCTCTGCGTCGGGGCCAGACTTCACTCGAGTCTTCAGCCCGTCGGAGCAGCAAGGGTTGAGACGGCAGCGGCTGCTTTTCTCGCCTAAACATTGGAAAGGAAGCGCAGCCGAGGAGAAAAGAGATTGTCCAGTAGAGTTGGGGCTTTAGTCGATTTCTAGGTGCGATGTAAAAAAAAAAAAAAAATCGCACCGTGCCGTCTGAGAGCGAGGACGAGGGTTGTCGCCAGAAACCGTCGGATCTGCTCGACGCAGCTCCGCTTCCCAGCAGGAGGATGAGCAGGTGCGCTGGAGGTGCAGGTGTCCACGCGAGGCCCCGGCTCGTCTGGCTTCACTTTCACAGGTAAAGTATTCAGGTGGAGTTAAAGACATCGAAGCTGCTCAGGAACACAACAGATAAACTAATCTCACAAACAGTTCACTAAATGTAAGGACAGTTTTTTTTTAGAATAAAGTTTAAAAGTTCAGTTTATTCATCATGAAGTCGCCTGATCCGGCCTCCCTCTTTTCACATTTCTCCTAAAATCAAAACGTTTTTGTGATTTATTAATCTTGACTTAAGTTAACACTAAAGAAACACGGCAAGCATAAAATTTAATGAAAATTAAAACGGAAAAACGACTTAAATGTTTAAGATTAAAGTTATTTTAGTGTTTGATGATCCACAGACACGAACAGTATCTCAGCATTAAAAAAATGAATAAAAGACATTTATTAAAGTAATTAAAAAATGGAGCAGATTTTAAAAATAAGATGAAGTACATCAATTCGCTGCACATGTAATAAACAACAACCCCCCCCCCCCCATTTAGTTAGTTAATCCATTCTGTGTTGATAGAATTGTAAATAGTCTTTATTGCTATATACAAATGTTTTTTAAATGGCAGGAGAGCCAGATGTGAAATAGAAGAAAAACTCAAAGTCAAGAAACTAATGAATGTCTCCAAACTGCTGCAGAGCGACGTGCAACATGTTTTTTATCTGTTGCAGATCAAATAAATGTTTCAGTGATTAAGTTTGAATGTAAACCTGATGATCAGCTTTTATCTGAGATGAATGAAACCTCAGTGTGTTGATGGTTTGTTTATAAATCACATTTAAAACCATACGTTTGAACAAAGTAATAATCTACAATAAATCCCAAAATCACAACCATAAAAACATTTAAATAAAACGATACCAATTAAAACAAAAGATGTATAAAAACAGGCCATTAAACTACAAATTAAATGTCAGAATCCTTAAAAAGCATCAACTTTGATTGAGTTGGGTTGATAATATAAAAATCTGAAGCTGTTTACTGAAATCGTTTTCTAAAGGCACCATTGGGCTGTTCCACAGTTTGAGCTGCTACAGCAGCAGCACGTTCTCCTAGTGACTGATCTAGAACGTGGAACGTCCATACAGACCTGTTCAGATTATCTAAGACAGACATGTTCAAGGAGTTTCACGCACGACTCAAAATAGTCCAACTGAAAGTACTCATTGGTTATAACAATTAAAATTTTGATTAAAAAATGTATTGTAAATACCTGTGTGCGTGTGTATGTATGTATGAATATATATATATATATATATATTATAATATATATATATATATATTATA